CAATTAGACCTCATTAGAACCAGTTCTAAAGGAAACCACAAGGGCCAAGGAAAGAATTTTTTCCTTCAGCAATTTAATGTTAGCAGATATTACTAAGCATTTAGCTATCAAAAAAATCACAAAGAATTGAGAAGCAAATTTCTTAGATATCTACAAAGGGAAAAAAAAACATTTTATTTTTTATTATTAAAATAATTTTGGGGCTATTTTAGAAAAATCTGTATCAATCTCAAACTTGGAAGATGTCCATTGTTATCCAGACAGAAGGACGGGCAATACATCGTTGACAGACACGAAAGAGCAGACAGGTATGAGAAGATGTAGGTTTCCTTGTCTTGGTTCTGGAACAAGGCTAACAGACCTTTTGGCAAACTATTTTTCCTCCTCTTCTCACTTCTTCCTCATCTACCTACCCTTAAAGGATATAGAAAGCTTTTCATGTTTGCACAGCATTCAATAGAAGACAGTTAATGATTTCTCAAAGAATCATGTCTTTGCTTCAAAATTTGTTAACACCTTTTGATGTGAAAGGGACAATTTCAACAAGTTATTCATGTTTCCAAGAAGCTTTCAGAGTTATCACTAGCCACTGAGGGATGCCCATCCAGGAAACAGCATCAATTCCATAACGTCATCTTTAGAATTTGCGTATTTGGGTTAGTGTTTTCTCAGCCTACCTTCAATTCATCCTTACCTGGATCAGTCACTTTTATGTTGTTCTTAACATGGAAGAAGTTTGAGACATTGAACTTATCCAGGTTTGTTGGATCCTGAAAATAATAATTAAAAAACAAATATCAGAGGGCTTGGCAGGCACCCATTGCATGCAACAGACTAGTTTGAAGGGCAGACGCCACCATAATAAATGAATAGGGAGAGACAGAATAACTTCCGTACTTCCCAAACCACAGAAATAAGAAAAAATATAAAGCAATCAACCCCAACCAACATCAGCAATGAGCCTGTTCACAGTAGGCTCTTTAGGGATCTGGAATTTAGTCCCAAACATAATATTACACATATTTTGCCTACAGAAGTTACTAACAGTACTAAGCTGAGTCTACCCTATCGTAGCGAGAAGAATGAACGAGGAACTGCAATCCCGTTTCTTTCCTTCATTCTGTGGTTTGCTCTAAGACCTATGCAAATTCACATTGGCTATCTCCTACTTACAACAGTGTGCCTGATCTGCACATGCTCTGTGAACTTTTGTAATGCATTTCAAAATACAAATAAACCTCAGAGCAAATCTTTGAAGTCAGAACTGTTTCGATTGGGTTTTTTTTTACTAGTAAAATCTGTGCTTACAGAATTACATCTAAAAATAAAATAAAAATACTTTAAAAAGCAACAAAAAGTGGTATTCCAAAAACTCTGTTGAGTGACCACTCAAAGAAAACAGCAAAAATACACAGTCCATTAACTGTGAGTCTTCATACTATCTCTAGGCAACTTTCTGCAGAATTTTGACCTTTTGTCAGAGTGAGAGAGACAAGGAATGCCTACTGGTGATCGATGTTACATTATGCTATTATTAAACAGTCCTTAATCCTCTTCTTACAATGATTTCAAGGTTTTCTCCTCAAGCTCCTCTGCAGCACAGAAAGGTCAAAACATCAGCCCAGGACACCCAGTCATTTCTGGAAATTTATCTTACACAAAACAATTCAAAATCTAAAATACCAAAATATCTTAATAATATGCAATAGTTTCAAGTTCAGGATAAAAAATGCAACGCATTATGCAAAGAACTATGACGCTGACATGAACAGTATTATCCCAAATAAATTTAATAAAGCTTCTCAGACCACCGTTGGTGGTAAGAAGTTCCAACAATTCCATCTCTGCTAAAAGTAATGATTAATACAAGCAGAGCTGGTAGCTCCATCACTTATTAAATGATCCAATTATGCCTTTTATTCATCCCTGAAAGGGCATGCTTCCACCAGAGAGTGCATTTTTAGTTTTACTGCTGATAGTAAAACCACAACACATTTATGAAATCAAGCTGTGTGATTCTGTACCCTAATGATGACCTCCTGGCTTTCTGCTGTCCCCTTTCCCAACCATTATATAATTTTTTATTGTTTCCTGTCCCACTATACCCCTCCGACAGATCTTCAACAAGACATGGACTGCCAAAAAACCCAGATATTTTATCTGTAAGATCTTGCATTAGAAACAGATAATCTGTAAATAAAACTACTAAGGAATAGGAAATATGGACCTGGTTTTTAACTGGTTTTGTATCCTCTGACACTGGCACTCAGGTGTATTTATTATTTATTACCTCACATACATATTTATGTATGTATGAATAGAGATAATTTCAGCCTTGCTCTCTGACAGTCAACAAGATGCATGGAGAAAGTCTGGAGAAAGGGCTTAGTGTGTTTCCAGAAGACACAGGTTGCCTCCTCCCAAATACTCTTCAGTAATCATGAGCTGCAGCTTTCCCAGACAGAAATCATCGCCTTGCACATAAATGTACCACCTCAAAAGGTGAAGGAAGTAAGACTGTTTACCCTTTCTAGGAAAGGAAAAAAGAATAATCTGTGTATTAATATTAATAGAGACAAATGGATTTATAGCAATCCACATGTTTGCTGTTCATGGCAAAGCTGAAGGGCAAGACTGAGTCCTGAAGCCATCTTCTCATGAACAGGAGGGAGCGCAGGACAGCAGTAAACATGAACCAGAAAACACCTTCACTATATTCCTCTAAGTAAAGCTTCTTCATTTACTCATTTATTGACTCTTTAAAAATAAATAAAAGGACATCACAACTGCCAGTGCCTTATGAAACCAAGTACTCAGGGTACCACAAATCGGATTAGTTCAAACTGTTCCACAGCCGCACTTCATTCAAACGTTTACCTGGCTCAACCAGCCTAATTACAGGCGTTAGGCAGCGCCGGCAAAAATGTTTACAGTCTTCTTCCCTGCAAGGGATTTCTCAGGGCTCTCCAAATCACCGCTAACCTCCCCATAGGCAACGCATCCATTATGGTATGAAGGACAGCAGAGGCCACAGGGCAGCTGAGACCAAGGTCCTCTGCTCAAGGTCCTTCAGCACATTCAGGTGGGCCATTTGCTCAAATGGAAACCTTCACAAAGATCTGATTTACAGCGTTGTCCCTCGTGTTCCTGATTCTGCAAAGCAGGAGTCTCACCACGCATCGAGAAGGCAGACAATTCACGCAGCTACTTCAAAACCAGTTTCCCTCTGTCAGTGGAAAAAACCCTCAAAAATGGTTCCTCAGGTTGAAATTTGAGTGTCATCTTACACGGGACACCTAGGACAAGCAGCTGACACATTGATTCCTCCCTCTGAAATACAGCATCATGATACACTAGGAGAAGTTTGATTAGAATTAGTTTGATTAGAATTAGACAAACTGAGAATTAGAATGTCTAATTAGAATTAGGCATACTAAGTGTGACAGTACTGCAGTGAATATTAAGTTAAACGTAAGACACCACTTGCTTCTACCATCCCCAAGAGCAGAAACACATCTGACCAGTCCAGCCTGTGCTGTAGAAGACACAAACCATTTCCTCGCAGATGGTACTGAGTCCTAATAATATGCAATAGTTTAAAGTTCAGGATAAAAAATGCAACACATTATGCAAAGAACTATGATGCTGACATGAATAGTATTATCCCAAATAAATTTAATAATTCTCAGATACTTCTAAAGCTTCTAAAGATACACGTTTTTTTAAAGGTAGGTCTATGTAGATTTTAAAAGTGTACGTGGTCTTTAGACATACCACTTCAGGAAGAAAACTGTGTAAACACTAATAATTAGCCTGCCAAGTTCCTCTCGTTTAATCCATGACAGTTACGGGGCACAGAGTGAGAGCAGTCCGACCAAGGTGCCACAGGGACGGCAGAGGACACCCCCGCGTCGTCAGAGCCTTGAGCTCTAATGGATTAATGGCCTCTCCTGGTCAGGGAAAGGCTGGACTCATAGGCATGCTCCCAATCTTAAGATTAAGGCCTAGAGCCCAAAGGCCTAAAGAAATAAGTTCTGTGTAAGCGCAGAGAAACAAAGATGAACCATGAAGAATAAATTGGCCTACTTTTGTTTGTCTTAGCATATTTAAAAATATGTATCCAAATTACCATAAGTAGCAGTCTCGGGGTTTCTCTTATTAAGGTTACAAACCATAAACTTTAGTTTAGCAAATTACTAGCACAGATACAAACTTCAAAGGGTTGCTAACTATCATGACTATTAAAAATCTCATATTTGATGTTTTCCTGAAAGCTGAGCTCTGAAAACAATCTCAAGTTGTATTCCACTTGGATTTTTCCTACCATTTTCCGGTTTCACCTGCTTAAGGAAACAACTTAAACTCCATTAATCTTAAGCGCCGTACAACCCCCCAAAAGAACAGGTTAAAACCAGCGCAGTTTCAGACCAAGCGATTTCTTCGAGGCCCGATGCCTCTCTTATCGTTTGGTCAGCTATGCTGCATCCCCGATTATCTTCAGGACTGTCACCTTCGTGCACCAACCTACCGCGTCCCAGCACGTCGCCTCTTTACCTGGGCACAGGGTGCATGCGTTGGTGCAGGATTCGCCCTCAAAGAGCCCTCACCCACCCCCACAGCAAACCTGCTCCGACCTTCTGTCTGCACAGACAGCAAACGAGGAATAGCTGAGGAGTGCAATGGCAATTAGCAGTGTGCAGCTCAGCTACCTCCAACTCAGCTCATTAGTTATGCTTCCCGCCACAAATGCCGATGGTGTTTAACAGCTTGTTGTGAACCATGTCTTGTCCACGGCTGATTAGGTTCTACACAAACAATAAAACTGACATAAGGAAGCACAGAACAGTATGAGCCTTTTTTTTTTTTTTTCCTTTAACAGCAGCAGACCTGTTTGCATTCTAACCAGACTTTTTTTCTGCCTGTTTATTTCCCCCAGAAGCCCCCCTCCATTTCTGCGGTGCAAAGCAGGTGCATTTGTTAGTGTGAATCTGTCAGGGCAGGCTCTCAGCAGGCTGCCTTCAGAGGACTGTGCCTATTACCGCTGGCACAACAGGGCTGGGGGGTTATTGCCATTAACCTGGCAGAGAGGAACAGACCACCTCTGCCTCTGCTTTACCCGCAAGCACTGCCGCTGAGCAGAACCACACTTCTCACTAACTCCCCTCCCCTGCCGGCACACAGCTCAGCAATCACTTCCATGAGTTTCCAGAGCAGGAATAATTTCTGCTGTATCTTCACAAATTTGAGAGCCATGGTTTCTGGTTTGTGAGCAGAGACCCAGTGGAGGACGAAGGATTGACAGGGGACTAAAGGGGAAATTGTTCTTAGTTCCTCTGAACACTTCCCGCCAAATGGGATGTGAAAGCAGGCTATTGCAGCATTCTTACTTTGCTCTTCTCAGGACCCTCTCACACTTGTTGTGATGGGAAGAAGTCCACAGACTGTCAGAGCCCACCACTGTGTCCAGCAAAGCACTACCTGACCCTGTTCCTCGGTGCAGCTGGAGCTGGAGCCAGTGCTTGCTTCAGCCTGCCCACTCTTACACAAGGGAATCCAGGTCATACTTATTCAAGTGCTTGCTATTAAGTTCCACATCATTACACAAAGAATAATTTGCAAAATAGGTGATTGAAACACACAAAGAATTTACAAGTAACACTAATTAATAATAATTTCTACTAGACTGTTGACCAGATTTTGTCACCAAGATTAAATGGTGAACAGCAGACCTTGAGATCTAACACTGAATTACACCCCAAAAAGCTTTACTTGGAAGATAACTTCAAATTACGTTAAACATTTAGATTGAAAACTAGCTGAAAACCTGTAAAACACAGGACTGGAAGAAACACCTAGTTCTGAACTGTAGCCTAATGCAATCTTATTGTGTCAAAACTCTTCCAAAGCTATACTAAATCCTACCTTTAAAACAATTGCAAAGTGAAATGATGAACAGCAATGTACCAGAATGGGAAGCAGAAAAGGGAGGCAAGAACACTGCAACCAAGCTTCAACAACACCAGCCTTCCTATTAGAGATACCCTGTCCCCACAGACCTCTAAGTGCTTTACATCATGCCTTACCCATTAAGTATAACTAATAAATCTTGAAGTACTTGAGCTGTCTGTCAGCTGGTAGCACACTCGTGACATTTGCAAGGGATGCTAAGTTAGGCTGAGCTGATCATCTTTCGAGGTAAAAGAATACAAGTGGCTTTAGAGTTATGAGAAACAGACAAAATACAACAGCAATATTCCATTTAGAAGAGATATGAACCAGTACACTTGAGAGAAAAATTATCTGAAGTACTGATAAACTGTAAGGAGAGAGAAACTTGGAAAAAAGTAACACCTGCACTGTAGAAGATGGAAAGCTTGACTTGAGTTTATGGCAAGATCACACAGCTTAAAAAAGGCAATTTCAACTTAAGGGTAATGAGCTACAGTCTAAAAAGTCCAGTCATACTAAGATTGCTGGTGTCTAGGAAGGATTTCTAATGGAATAATGCCACATGTATTTCTGTCATCAGCAAGATATTAAACAGGAATGCATGACATCTTTTGCCTGAATAACTACATTCCAGTTTTGGTAATGTATCTTGCACACCAGGATATGGTATTATTCTTTACCTCCTGCCCTGAGGGGCTGGATAATATCGCCATATGTTGATGAAAACCTGCCACACTCTACCCCAGGACATTTGCATTTCAACAGGGAAAAAAGCAATTTCTTCGTAAGTGCAGGAAGCACTGTGGATTCCTTTACAAACAGAAGCACACCATAGATCTAAGATAGTGTTATTAACAACTAAAGTTGTGATTTTTGTTTTTTTAAGTTCCAGATCCAAAATAATTTGTCCTTTTTAACAAGTAAACTTAATAACAATAGGACACAAATAACTATCACTAAAATGAAAGTGACCAGCTGAGATGGTGCTCACCAGAAAACGTATCGGGGATGGATTATGATTAGTGTTTTAATAATGTTTAGCACTGAGAACAGAATGAAGAATTTTATGCAATTCTTTCTCTTCTGGAAAGAGCAAATTTTTTCGGTTTTGTTTTTAATTATACACATTAGGAGAGAGAGGTCAAGTTTGAGATCAATTGCTATTCTGGTAAAAGAACATCCCTAGCAGCTGTAGGATTGCCCTTTACGTATCAATAAGGAAAAATGCGATCATACAAATAATCTGTGAGCATACATTATTCAAATGTTCCATTTATCGTGCTGTATTTCACCACTAAACGCAGGTACCTCATCTGCTTCCTAGGACATTGAGAATCAGCCTCTGGAAATGCTATTTTCTATTGAGAAACACAGCTATTGCAGCCAGTCCCATTCAGCTGTTATTTGCAAAGCAAAGAATGTTTTTATAGCAACTTCCTTTCTATCTACCTTTTTGCTAAACAGCAGGGTCAGTGTTACCAACTCACTCTCAATTCCAGCTCTCGGATACCACAGTACTCAATTTACATGGGGGAATCGGAAAACAACAAAGTGATAAATTTCAGCACAGAATTGAAAGGTTTTTGAGAGAAACGGGATTTGGGATAGAGCTCTAGAGCCACAAATTGAAACACAACAGATTGCAGTCACGAACTCTGGCTAACAAACAAAGCCACAGGTGGCAGAGCTTGGCAGTGTGAAGCCACCATGCTGCCTGCAGTGCTGTCAACAAGAGAGCTGGTAGAGAAGACACTGGTCTGCCTTGCAACAATTTACAGGAAGAAAATACTATAAGAAAATAACAACAGATTCCTATACCACATACACATAAGCAATTTTAATACCCAGGCTAGTCATACCACTTGAGACCTAAATTCTGGCCTTGACAAAGCAAGTCAGGGTAGGTAGCAGCACTTGAATAGGAGAAATCGAGGTATCCTCGCAAGCTTGCAGCGGGTGTTGTGCAGTGCATTAAATGGGTCTTACTTCTCATTCAACACCCCAAAGCCATTTTAGCCTGTTTGTTGAAAACCCTTTTTTGAAAAAAATATTTAAACGCTAATTGGATGAAGGGTCAAACTTTAGCTGGTTAACAGCATTCAGATGGTCCAAACCTCTTCCAGTCCAATCCCAAGACGGGGGTATCTTTGCTATTTCTAAACTTATTTGAGAAGAGTATACCACAAGATTGTACACTACAGAAGTGGTGTAACACCAATCCATAATGAGTTATTTACTTAAGAGAAACAAATCTACTCATGTCTTAGGAACGTCGTCCTAAACGGACATGAGAGAGGTACAGGCAATGTATGGCTGTGACCTCCATGCGGCTGGCAGGATGACTGTACCAGTGACTGGACAACTGTCAAAATCTACTTAGTTTCTGTTAACAGACATATTCCTCCAAGCAAGACAGAAACCCAACATGTCAAGAACAGAGCAAAGGTGAAAAATATTGATAAAAATCACCTATGTTCCACATATGGAACATCTAAATTGCTACCTATTGCATTTTGAGATTTAGGGGACTATAGCATCTGTTTGCTTTTATGAAAAATCAAAAGGTAGTCATGTAACAGGAACACAGTCTTTATACATACATTCAATTCCAAACCTACAAAACATACCAAAATGTTTTAAAAATGACTGCACATTTCAATTATTTGTTGAAAATAATTTGGTTTTCCATACTGATGCACAGAAACATTTTTAGTCACTCATGTTGTCTCTTTTTACCATTCCAAATCCATTAGCAACCATGCAGTTACATTCAAATAACATTCTGTTGGGAGCTTTCAATCTGAAAAAGCTATGTTTTTTGCTTCCGTTGGATTAAAAACGTTTTACTTTGTTGCATTAGCTTGAATAGCCATAAACCCAAAGGAATAGAGGAAAAATATTTATAAACATGCTGTTCAGCACGGGGGAGTAGGGAAGAGGGGATACATTTCATTTAAATGTAGACGTAAATGAAAAATATTTTTCTATTCAAATTAGACTGTATTAGCCTTGGTTAGTGGCAATTAACTGTTCACGAGATGCATACTAACTCAAGACTTCAATAATAATGACCCTTGAATCTTTTTTCCCCTATTTTGAGATCATGCAAGCTTAAAAATGCTTACTTTTAAACAAAAGTTTTAGATCTTTTGATACTAAACTTCATCTGTAAATAAGAATCTTCTACACTCTGAAGTTTACAATGCTATTTTAATTTAGGTTTTAATTCTGTTAAAATCAGTAAAAGACCAACATTGGTATCTATTCAGAAGAAAACCATTCTAAGCAAGCACTTAAAAAAAATCCTCTGGTTTCCTACTTATTTTACTCTACATTTAGAGAAACATTCTATAAAAAATGCTTTTCTGAAGCTTTGACTCTTTTAAGCACCTTCAAAAGAGTAAGATGCACAATCACCTTCAGTCTTAATGTAACATGTTGACTTCCTAAACGTTTATACACTTGACATTCTAAAACACGTTTCTTTTGATAACATGGACCATGCATTGTTGGCTCTCTAGAGCTGAAGACGATTCTGCACACATCTTTCCCTTTCCTCTACCCAGTCTTTTCCCAATGCACTTCTATTAAGTCTCACAATAAATCAGAGGTGTCAGCAATAAATCAGCAATTTTTCAGGTAAGATTAACAGAAAAAAACCCCAAAATCTTCTGTGTAGTTTCATATCTAAAACTTACAGTTATGCACAAGATCTTATATGAGTTGGATACAGTGAAATAGTGAGGAACTGCAAATACATTTATCAAAATTCATTTTTACATGGCATCCTTGACTTTATCTGTGCACCTTTTTTTTTTCTCCTTCAATTAACAAAGTTGAAAAATCTGCTTATCTACAAGGCACACAATAATCGCTCTAGAGATTTGTCAAGCTCTAAATTATATGGCATCTTTGTGGCTCATCTGGATTAAGAAAGAAAATACAGCAGTTCACCTTCTACCCATCTGCAAGACACACACAGAGACAACGTTTCTCTGCTCAATTATTCTAGATTCCTGCTATAACAGTGTACGTAGCAACATTTCATCCTCTACAAAAAAAGCTTTATTATAAGACATGTAACAGAGAGAAAAGTTTACCTGCAGTGTCACAATGTCTTGCCGAGTGAAGGGCTCATCTGTCAAAAGATCCTTGTAGCTCTTTGGTTTTATGTTCAGCTGCTCAACTGCCTAGCAGCCAGGCAAAAGTCATAGATATTAATAATATGATTCTAATGTGCAAATATCGCAAGTAAATATGCAAGTAAATAAAAGCTTAAAGTACAAATGATAAAGCAAACAATTTCACCCTTCATTGTCAACTGGCAGCTGCAATATTTTCATTGTGTGCTTTAACAGATGAGAAGTTTTTGTCTTTCATCCCTACAAAACTCAACAGTTTTGTGTGGTTTGTTTTGGGGTTTTTTGTTTTGGTTTTTTTTTTTAAAAAAAAGAACCTTGCAGTCTCCATTCCATAGTTACGCATATCATTTTAACCAAATTCATCATAAAAGTACTGCCAAAATAAAAAAATCTTGCTTGCAGTTTTCCAAGTTAAGTATTTTACAGATGGTATAAGACAGGCAGCTTTAAGAAAGCGTCCGCATCTCCCCCACTGTCAGCAGCGCTCAGGGAGACACGCGTGCCCCGGGTCAGCTCTTTACAACAGCAGAGCGGCATCAGCCCCTCGCACTCTGTCCACCCCAACTGCTGCACCTGGCCTGCAGCAGCCCTTCCGTTCACCTGTGAAAATTAAATGATGCTCCACAAAGCAGCAGCGTGTTATTTCATAGTGAGAATCAATGTGGAGCAAACGCTTTGTCGTTACAATCAAATACATCATGCAGAGAGACGACTATGGAGGTCTACCTGAAAAAACTGAATCTGTCTTATTCGCCCACATGTCCTCTATTCTCCTCAGATGAAAGTGATAATATTTTTCTAGTACCTCCAGAAGTCCGTAAATTAATTCTGTGCTTACAACAAACCAATAAATGCTACGGCTTCAAGTGGTACACCGCACGAGAAACAGGCCCTGTCAAGGGCACAGCTTGTTTAGGAAGCTCTGTATCAGAAATTGTGGCAAACTGAGCAACAGTTTTACACGATCGACAAGCATTTAACAAAGACTACTCTTAAACTCATTCTTGCCTTTTAACCACAGCCATCAAAGCAGCATGCTTCCAGAAGGAACAGAAAATACTTTCTATTTTAACCTAAACTTGACTGCTCTCACAGCTGGAATGAAGACAGTTCAACTACAACAGAGCAAGTTTTCAAAGACATGATGAATCCAGACTTTTCCTTGATTGCAATGCTTCCAGCTTGTTCCTCTCAGTATCTGAAAGTTCTACTGGAATTTCCCATCAACAGATTTCAAAAAGCAGGTGTTTCAGTGTTCAGACTTTTTACAACACTGGATATGGGTGCATTAATTGAAGGATTTATTTGCTACTGAAAAATAAATAAACTTTGCTTTTACAGTAAGGATTATGCAAACAAGTCACAACTACAATTCCAGCTGGGTTCACGCAAATGTTCACAAAACACAAACAAAAACACAGTTAAGTGTCCATTAAGGCATTCGCTCTGCTCTCTCCCCAGCTCCACTTAAAATACTCTTTTTTATTCATTGATATGAATAGCAATGAGGCAATTTGTGTTGTGGTGATGACTCTGTATCAGAAAGAAGACAACAGAAGATTTGTCTATTAATTCAGCTGAGGAGCCATAAAAAGCTACTCATTTTGGTCTACAAAATTCAGTGCATGCAGATTAACTTAGGAAAAGGCTTTAAAAATACCTTTTAAACCATATTCTAGGGTTGTTCATATATTGAAGGCAAAAGTGGGACAACAATTTGGGAAGTCAGTTCATCTCCTTGTACTTTAATTTCCCCAGCTGTAGAACAAGAATAAAACTTACCTATCTTTCTAAAGCGTTTTGTGATCTTGAATGAAATGCATCAAGTATAAAATATTAGTAATGAAATGCAACAGAGAACCTACCTCATAGGCAAACACATTTCCTGTTGTCTTGATGGCCACAATATGGGAGTTATTGGTGAATACAGTAAACAGCACTGGACAGTGGTATTTGCCTGATGAAGAGGAAAAAAGTTTAAATTTGGCATGAAGTCGCTGCAACTGTTTTGAAATATCTAGTTTCTATTACCTCTGTGAACGCTATTTACATTAATTTTTAAAAGAAAGTGTAAGTTTAGTGTGTGTTTAATGGTGTTATAACTGTGCTTTGATTCTTTAGTGCCAAATAGGAAAAGTAACATTTAAGAGAATTATAAAGCAAGCAATGAAAATGGAGTTTTGAAATCTACTGCCCTCAATCCCCCAACACACAACTTTGTCCAACTTGCTTGATACCTATGAAGTACCACAATATAATTGTGATTGTTGTAATCAAAGCTCCATTGAGAGCACGAGCCTGTACCCTGTAAAGTGCCCAGTGCTCTGTTTTCAGCGTTGTTCCCAGGAATAGAAGTTTAGCTTACATCCAACAAAAAAGTTGACAGCAGCCGTTGTGCTTGTAGGAGAGGAGAGCATTTTGTATTCAGATGTGGCAAGCAGAGTGCCATTAAATCTGAACACGTTATTCAGTAAGGAACCCAGCTTGTGCTCTAATCAAGCTGTGAATTTTCCCAGGAGGGTCAGCATAAATATTAAGCATGTCAACAACAAGCAAACTGATGGAAGGCAATGTACGAGGAAAAAGAAAAATGTCTGGATGATCTCAGCAGAAAGCAATTAGAAGAAGGTTATTAATACTTGATCAGTTTGCTAGACCTGGGGGTTTGGGTGAGATTTTTGAAATAGGTTGGGCCTATTTGGTTCTTTTTTTCCTAACTACCATCTGAGAATCAAAACCGGCAAGGGAGAGCAGAACAGGGACTGCTCGCAGCACCTGCAAAGACAGGAGAGGCAAGGACCTGCGAGTATCTACCCATGAACGCATCAGCCAGAGCTGGCCCTCTGACCTCCAGCACACAGGTGCAAGTAAAAGCTGAGGACTGTTTCTGTTAATGCCACCAGAACTGAAGGAAAGCCATTACCACAAGGGTCTGAAATTCAAGAGGAAGTTTAGAAAGGGATTTTTGGAAGTTGCATCAGGGTATGGCCCAACTGATGGATACAGAAACGTGCTGGTAAAATGTGAGGCCTCGCTCCAGCTGCGTGAAAAAGAGCGAATCGCCGTGTTTCAGCTCTAGCAAAAGCAGAACTGCTGAGGGCACACGCTTGTTGATCTGGACAGAAGGTACTTAGCTAAGGAAGGATCATTAAATGGAAGAAACTGCAATATCTGAAGACCTTTTTTATTGTATAGGTGTGAACAGAGAAGATCCTACACACGTATCAACCATTCTACATGTTAAGATTTAAAGAAAAGTTTGCTGGTAGCCAGAAATGCAACATTTTACTCTTCCTCTCTTGTTGCATCTTCTCTCGATCTATTAATGACACAGCATGCACCTTTTTAAGGAAAAGGCTTCTGAGACTACGTGGCTGCCATCATTCCACCCCAGCATTATAAACTGGACTTCTTTAAGGAAAGCACAATATCGCAGTATCTTTCAAAAAGCTTAGCCACAGTGACTATTGATCTTTTTTTAACATTCTGCTTTTGAGACAGATGGAACACAAAATGCAGAAGAAATTCATCAGCTAGAGACAAGACCTTGTAGTCTATGGACTATTGGTAAGATAAGGAGACAGACACTCCAGAATTTTATTTCCACCTAATCCTTGATACTCTCATTTCAAAGAAATCATTATCTGCCTTGTAAAAGATGAATTCATCTCCAATGTTCTCTTTTATTCCTAGCATCCTCTCTTAGATGGCAGATTTTATATCTTTAACCCTGCAGAAATAGAACTCAAGGCTGCTTTCTTGTGTGCTGCTATTCATAAAATCCCACGTGTTCATTTAAGTCTGATTTGTTTTATAAACAAAAAGTAGCTCAAAACAAAGTGAATCGCAAACAATGCCACAGGCAAGTTAGAAAAAAGGTAACATATTATAGAAATTTAGCCTTTTCTGAAAATTTTCCCTAAAGTAAATAGTACCTTACTGCAGTAGTAGCTATGGTAAAGTAAAATTGCTGAATAATTTACAGCTCTCCAGTGTAAAGAAAATCAGAAATGGAACTTTAAAGGTAAACACGTCACTCACAAGAAGCAGTTATTTTACTCAAAAAATAAAAAACATGATAGAAAACACAAACTATGTAACTTTACCATGAGTAAGACAAACCAGGATTTATTAAAGCACTCATTAAGAAAAAAAAAAAAAAAACAACAGAAAATTATAGCACTTACCTTCACTGTTTTTAGCAAAATTTAGCTTTATAAGTGATTTGGCATCTAGTTTCTAAAGAAAATGAAACATTAAAAAAATGAATCACAACAGAATCTCACCGTGGAAATAAAAGGAAACCGTAACATCAGTGTTAGGATTTTAATAGTACATAATTTATTAATAATATATTGCAAGTTATCTGAATCATCAGAACCCTGGGAATTTAAGTCACAGACAGCCCACAGAAACAAGGCTCACCAAGCCTGAGAACTGGGATGTGTTTATTTACAGTGTTGTAGTGTGACACAGCCCAGCACGAACCAGAGCGAACGAGCTTGAGAAGTTGCACAACTCTCTCTTAGCACAAATTGGAAGGGGAGTTTGCATGAAAAGCTAAGAGGCAAAGATCATCGCTGCTGATCAGAAGTGACAATTCAGAAGGGACCTCTGACGAACGTCATAAAGCCAGCAAACCATTCTGCCAGTCAAGGTTGCTACCTTTTCTGAAATAACTGTAATTTTTCTTTTACCTCAGGAAACGTGTAGTGGAGCCCACATGGTAACTAGCAATACTGAAGAGAAACTGAGGCACGAGTTCTCCAGAGAGGCGCTTGGGGTCATGAAGGCAGACCCAGTTAATCCCCAAGTAACAACTCCATGGAAGAGGGAACCAAGATGGCAGCCAAGGTTGGGAGGCCCTACAGGCTGACAAAATGAGGGCAACGTTCTCCCACTCCAGAGAGGACACCGCAAACTAAGCTAGCTCCTCTTCTCCCACACGTCATCGGAAGCATGTCTACAGCATTTTTCCACTGCCCGCTCTCCAGAGGGGCCTTCAAACACAGCGGGGGAAGAGCTATCGGGCTGGCAAACACTTCTGGACGATCATGCTGCTCCCTCCTGACAGCATTCCCTAAGACATGAAAGCCACAAGCATGCCCAAAGTAAGAGCGCGCCTTCAGTAACGCGACGGGGCGGGCGCACGTATGCCAGTCACTTAAGAGGGTCAGTACATGATTTGGGCGCATCGCTGGCACGATGGGCACGCCACAACCCGGGACGCCGCAATGGCACAGCCCGCGGGATGGTTAGGCAGCGCTTGGCTGGGGCACCCAGCTGGAGACGACGTCCAGCCCAGCAAGCTGCGAGGCTGAGTCGGGATCTCAGATACTAAAAAAGCCCCAGCAAACCCTTTGATTGTATCAGCTGTCAGAGACAGTTTCACTGCCAAATTGATCGTTAAAAGCACACACAGCACAGGCCTTTTAAAAGAAACAATCGGTTCTCTTCTCAAAACACACACCTGAACAGATTAGGGAGGTTTTTATAACCCAGACAGCTCTTTATAAACAGATATATATACA